GATCTTTGGGCCAGAAGACAAAAGAAGATTGTGTAAAATATCCTCATTAGTCGACGTTCTACTCATTTTTCTAGAATAACAACTCTCTGTATATTTCCGAAAATCTTCATTGAGAGTTTCCGCTACCTCTTACTCTTATTGAGAGCTTACCTATTCGAATGGCACCAAAGTTCTTCATTATTGTATATCACCGCCGTGAGCCAACAATTTATGGATACTGGAAGGCATATATATATAATAACAGGGATATAAATTAACATACAATTCTGCAGTATATCTACAAAATTCGGAAAAATTAGAAAGGTCTACGCGCTCTCCAGATGGAACAGTCTGAAGAATCAAGTGAAACCTCTCTATTCAATCTTTACGTATTCCTGTTATGCGGGCTGTTCCTTCTGCATCCCTGAAAAATCTTCTGGCAGTATTGCCATCATTGGTTCTTCCTACTTCTTGCTTGACAATATCTATACTTAAGTAAACCGCATTCCTTTTTAAACGCTTGCTGTATAGCGCTCTTTCTGATTGATATTTTTTCTTTGTCACCCCCCCTTGCAACCCCATTTCTTGAAGTCCAAACGATAAGACGCAAACAAAAAAGTGTCAAATAAAATATAATCTCACAGGAAACTACATACGAAGAAAAGTGCGTACAGAATTTTTGGAGCTCAATACTTTTCTCTTCGGTCACGTTTATTTGATTTTGTAGGAATTGAAAGAGTTTTTTATTATCAGACAGCGACTGTAGTTGCTCTCTTAAAATCATAAATAATTCTAAATTGTTAACAAAATTATTCATTATAACGGAAAAAGGAAGATCACAACGACAATCACGAGATGTTAGTAGTAGTACGAATAAACGAACACTAGTTAGTATATAATAAACATGGTCACTTTATACTTCCAGAGACAAACAAATGTTTACTATATTTTCTACTACCCAGTAATGGCTGCTTAACTAGTTATCCTCATTAAATAATGTTAACTATCCTAATAATTAGAGAGATTGCTTAATTAGAGACCTACTAAATGTATTGTTGTTAGGTATTATGTAATTATGGGTATCATTACGTGCTTTTACTTACTAATCCATATCAAATTTAACTTAAAAGCACTTACGAAAAAAAATATAAAGGTTTTTATTCTATGTATTTATTCATTTTTTTCGATCCATTTATTTGGCAGAGTTGCAACTTTATGCACATGTTCATAGCATCAAATAATAGTAGACTAGACAAGGTGTAAGGAAAATAAAGTTTCAAAGCGGGACCTCGCGGTACTTAGCAGGAATTTAATTTAATGTGACCCGCTCCATACAAAAAAATCACAAAACCCATTTTTCTGACCAAACTATAAAGTTTTTGTAATTTTTGCCCAAAACAATTATTATTGATATTAACGAGCTCTATCTATCTACATAAAGAAAAATGTAAAAAAACAAAGTTGGTGCCTAAGTCACTAAAATCATAGTATCGACCCACTGTGCGCCGGCGGGATTCGAACACCGGAGCATCGCTAGATATGAATACACCGGACGTGTTGTCCTTTAGGCCACAACGACTTAATAGCTCCTTAGGCTTCCTCCTTAGTAGATAGGGAAAAATAAAGGCAAAGTGACTCGTATGACATAATCCATGCTTAAAACTCACATGTCACTGAATAGACATATACAAAAATATAATATGCATGACAAAGTCGTGTTGCGCAAATGAAAGAGAATCTATAATAATTATGAACCAATAAATTTTTTAGGTTCCAATTAATTGTAGCTTTTTTTCTTTTAATGTTCTCTTACACTTACTACACAGTTTAATAATTCAAATTTAAAATTTAAATTTGTGCTAACACAATTAAAGGAATTTTATGTACAGAATTTAAGATCAAGAACCGGTTTTGTAATGTAGTATTAGCAAACAAACTATTATTATAAGACAGCATACTGTAATTACAACAGTTAATGATTTTTATATCTTTATTAATTAATTTATTTATTATAAAAAAAGAACACAATATTCCTAACCTAAAAGTACCTGTTATTATCCGCAACATGCTTCGTCAGATTACAGAAATAAAGTTATCAGCAACATGCTTCGTCATGCTTTTATATCTTCTTAGTTCTAGTTAAGATAACACTGTTGTTAAATATTCTTTCTTCCAATTGACAGCCCACTAACTCATAGTATTTATTGTGTTAATGTCAGAAGCACCTTTATAATACAGACTACTATTAGGTGCTATGGTCTATGAATGAGCACTGATGATAACAGTGCACCACATTACTAAGCACTTACTATATCACATCATATAAAACATAAATGAATTTTTATCAGGGAAAAATCACATGTGGTGATTTAGTTCTAAACTAGGATTCCTAGTACTTTGAGAACTAAAAATTGCATTCCCAAGTCTGTCCTCAGATACCATAGACCATTAACAACCATAAGTAATCACATTGGAATAACAGCTATCGTTGAAACTGTTTAATGATTAGGCAGAAATCAACAAATTTGGTGGGATCAACTCATAGGCTTGTGATGCCATTGTAATCTATGTGAGGGAGGCAATTACATAAATATTGTATAACTAATGTTATTTCATATCACACACGGATTAAGTTACCAACTCTCTATGATGAAGATATCTGCAATTTTTTTGTAAAGGTGAGGCCAAAACAACTGCACCAAAAATTCAACTCTGTATGTCTATTTAATGCAATTAACAACTTATTGTGTATACAAACCTCATTGGTATCAGCACTTTGAAAACTTATCTCATTAGGAACCATTACAACAAATTTTAATTAGTCCCAGTCACTAAATTTTAAGTGGATTATTTGAACTCCAATTTCCTTATGAGGAATGAATTGTTTTAATCAGTAAAAATATTTATTTATTATTTCTCAATGTTATAGTTATTGCTTCATATTGAAGTCCTATTACGGAAATACGAGTAGATAACTATGTAACACAAATATTGCAATCTATTTTTGAAATAACTTTTTCCTCTTCAGTGATAAACTCATTATGAAATATATAAAGTTCAAACATTTTTTATTAAGATTTTCAATAGCTTAGACCGATGAGTGTATGAATGGATTTTTAAAAGCAAAAGACAGAATGCTAATTAAATTCATTATCACAAGAAGCTCTCTCCAGCCTTAATTTAACTTAAAACAGTATATTTATGAATCATACTAATTATGACAAATAAAGTCTTAAAAATCTACCACTCTATTTGTGGTTTGATTAAGTCTGACAAATGAGTTAGATTCATTTATTTAGATGTTCTTTTATCATTACTACATTTTCATATCACTATCACTATTAAATAAGATAGGTTTATAACATAACACAACAGTTTCACATCTCATACCATTCCTCAAATAAAATAATTTTAATAGTATTTAAGTCATGAGTATATAATAGCGTATAATAGTACTCATGATTCAGATTTTATAAATCAAACTTTTTATTTGTTAGACTTCATTGTTATTTATAAAATAAATCAAGTTAATGATTTGTATTTGTAGATAATGCTACAATAGTATTATTCCAATGAATCAGCATGTTAAATTTAAATTTCATTATATAGATAGCTAGGTTGTAAGACGAAACGTGCCAAAATATCCATTTGAAGATGTAATTTTAAACTTCAATATAATTCTACGGTTCTTGGTTAGATGACAATGCTATTATACTTGCCAGCAATTACAGTCGCTTATGGACTATTTTTAATATTGTAAATAAATATTGGGGCTACTGCTTCCAAGAGGACTAATGAGCAAATAATTACGGTGACGTGACAAACAAAGTTTAGATCTGCATGTAATTTAAAATGATTTTAACAGTACAACAGAAAAGCACAAACCTGATCGGCTACGTCTTCAGCGGTTGATACGTATTCATTAGGAATTTGCATTTTTCACGCGGAACACAGCACTAACACCGAAAAAAGAAATCTCACTGAAAGTGAGATTCAAGTTGTCACGTCACTCGTCGGTCGTCCACTGTCAAATGACGTGTGATTTTTGGATGAATATCCGGTGTCAAAATTAATGCTAATAATTACACAGAATCTCAAGAACCACATTAACAACTTCTTTTCATTTATGAAAATGAAAGACTTAAAAACTTGATTTTTTTTTATTTTATTTAATTTAAGATATTTAGAGTAAGTAAATTCATAATTCAGCGGATGTTTTGATTTCAAATGTCAGTGCTCTGCGTTTTATTCGCGAAAGAGAACTTCAATGCTATATAGACCGTGTTTTCAGAAATTAACTTATTAAACAACTAAAATCAAAATAATCAGCTAAAGAAGAATGTCTAGACTAAACATTGAGCACACAGGATGAATTTTTATGATTTCATTCACATCAGTTTCTTCTTACTTAGAAAGATATATACTTAAATATATAGTTTATTTTGCGTTTGTCTTTTGCGATCAAATGAACAATATTGATGCCGTATGGACATTGTCCTTTACGGGTACGTATATCTCCTAGCGCATTGGCAATAACTTATTTTATTTTCGTTCGGTGACGCTGATATAGCCTCTCAAGGCTATCAGCTTAGGTAGGAAAAATTATTTTATTATGTTGTAAACGTGTGCTTTAGATTAGATTTTGAACACTTGGTATTGTGCTTCAATTTTCACTTGCGGTTAATAATCTTTCAAATTACAGATTGCAATAGAAACGAATACTATTAAAATTAAAATGGGAGAAACTAATGTTATAATTATTAGATTTGTCACCATATAGTTGTTTGATTTTTTTTTCTGAGTTTTAATACATCAGCATCACATAAAAGTTTATAGACTGCAGACAGAGGGTTTTTATTCATGTGTATATACTATCATAATATTGTAATATATGATTAACATTTGGCTCAAGTACATATTTGAAAACTATTTTCTTGGATATATTTGTTAAAAATTGGCTTAAAGGTCTCGTTACCAGGCCAGCGAAACATTCAAAGAAAAAAACGTGATAAATAATAAATACTATCAAAACTGCTGTAAAAATTTTAAACGGAGGCAAAACAACTAAAACAAATAAAAAATTACTATTTATATATTTTATTTCATAATAAAACTGAGAGCTGATTTGAGAGCAAAATGCTTGAAGTAACATGCAATGATCGACTCGGTAAGAAGGTTCGAGTTAAATGCAACCCTGACGATACCGTGGGTGATTTAAAGAAGTTAATAGCCGCACAAACTGGCACTAGATACGACAAAATAGTACTCAAGAAATGGTACACAGTATTCAAGGATCATATTAAACTTGCAGACTGTATCCTTTATAAAATATAAAGCACAGGCTTTTTCCCGCGTTACATTCACCAATATCGTCATATTTTCAGTCATTTTTAGTGATCCGTGCGTTGCAAAAATCAACCAAGGCTTGAAAATATTCTGATAGATAACAGAATATTATCAAGCCTTGGTTGATTGTTTATAGTTTTGATGGGTGGATGAGTCCACGGCCGAAATGCTGTTAAGTGTTCACAGGAGCCCATAGACATCGACGGTCATATCAAAGTACATACCTTGAATGCCAACAACAATATAATTCGTTTAATCTAAATCTCGCTTAGTTTATAAGCTCTACGTAGTATGACATAGGTATTTGACTGGAAGGTGGGAAAGTTTTTACCTAAAGTGGTTCAGGCTGTAGCTTCAGATCTCCGTCAGTGGCAGTATAGATTTCAGTGACTAATTAGACTGCTATGAGAATCTGTAAAATTATTAATAGTTAATATTATTTGCAGGCTCTTTTGGCCCTGTGTGTGTAGAATACAAAGAGTAGCCTATTATCTATTCACATAAATATACCATTTGTTAAAATTGATTAATTTCTGATGCTTCTACACAATATTAAAATCTTTTTCTGGTATTTTTCTAAATGCCAGTGACTACAGTGAGAAATGAGTTTGAAGTGCTGGTGGAATTGGGTAAATGCCTGCAATGTATTACATTATTATATACATTATTACTTGCACTGATTTTAATTATCTAGAATAAGACTGAATTTTCATTACTTTGAAACTACATCAAGACTGTAGGACATGTACATACTCAGATGGCACTTTGACAATTATAGTATATATGTAGCAAAAATGATCAATTAGTATTTGTTTTAATACATGGTCACATAAATATATTTTATTTTAATCTGAAAGAATGTACTAATTCATATTTTTCAAATAGATTTGTCTCTAATACTAAGATTTTCATTTGAATATTTAAGTTTTTTTTTTGATCAATGGAAAACCTGAGGACCTATTTAACATTCTTGAATTCTACTTATTTCCTTAATGTGAATACAGATGAAATCCACGATGGGATGAATTTGGAGCTGTACTATCAATAATAAAAACATTTGTATTTTAATACTTTTATTAATAATACTTTAAATCCTAATAATAATATTAAATCCTAATATTTTGTTAAGTTTATAAAGTTATTTCTTTATTCCATGTAATGTGACATTGACTTTATGTTTTTTATCAAATGCAAGCTCATCTCCTGTAAAGACAGTTATTGATTAATTGGATAAAGACAGACAGACACATGAAAGTGGCTCCAGACCAGGTACATGAACACATTGATTTTTAATTACCATAAATAAAGTAAGCCTACCATATGACCGACCACTGTAATTCTATTACTAACTAGCTGTGTCAGCACCTCTCCGCATAGAATAGTGGCTGGGCAGCAGTTTTTGGACATATCTCTTGGTTCATAAACACAGTCATTTGGGTATTTCGAAAAATATAATTTAAAGTAATGCTTCTCTATACACAGCATTAGATATATAGTCAGGGATCAAAGCATACAGGTTGCTAAGAGTGCTAACACGTGACAGAGCTACATAAAGCTGATTGTGTGAAAAACAGTTAACACTTAGATCTGCACCTGCAACTTTTAGCATCTGACATTGGGCTTTATTGTTTATTGTCATAGCGAAACAGGCTCACTGGAAACGCGAGCGGCAGTTAGTCGTGCTTCCTGTTCTTCTAGTGTCTCCTGAGACCTGGTATTTGCTGTTCGAACCCTCTGAGAGCTCAGACGGATTTCCCTATCAGTAAAGCTCTCGGACTCCAGCGATAGTGCGAGACCCTCGCGATCGGCCGTGAGACGTGCTTCTCGTTCTTCAAGTTTCTCTTGTGACCGGGCATTTGCTATCCGAACCCCCCGAGAGCTCAGGCGGGATTTCCTATTAGTGGAAGTCTTAGACTCACGCAATAGCGCATGAGATTCACGATCGATGGACAAACGTGCCTCACGCTGTTCCCTGTTCTCCCTAATTCGAGTGGCCATCATTCGAGAACGATGTGAACTCAATCGAGATTCTCGCTGAGCCGAAGTTTCTGTGGCACGAAACCTGGCCTGACGTTCCTGACATGCAGTGAGTCTTGCCTCATGATCTTCTTCAGATTCCTGTGATCGAACTAATCTCATTCTTTTAGCATTCCTGCTGCACTGGGAGAGGTTGGATCTTTTTCGAGGCATTCTTACATTATGCAGTACCTACTAACACAACGTTGTTTGGTAAACACGTACTTATCATAAAACTTTTTAAGAGATTTTATGACCTGGTAACTGTGACCTTTAAGTCATGTCTTAATTTATATTCATATTTTTATGAAAAATGATATTATGGAGTGAAATGAAATGAAGATGATTAATTTGAGACACTAATCAACTGGGATGAAATTAAATGCAATGAATTGAGATGATATGGGATGAAATATAATCTCAGTAAAATGGTGGTCATTTACTAAGATTTTTTCAGTGGACTTTTTGGAGGATCCTGAGAAATTACGTCCAGCGGCCATGTTTCATTTTTCCACATTTGTTCACTTTCACAGATATTAAACAGTTAATAAACCACTGTTATTACACATTTAAACCTGAAAAAACACTAAATAGACATAATTAAACAAATCACACAATTTTACTCCCCGCGTTCCCGCCAAAAAGTCCTCCCACAGATCTTATAAAAGGGATTTTATGACCTGGTAACTAAGATCTGTAAGTCATGTCTTATTTTAATTTATATTCATATTTTTATGAAAAATTATATTATGGAGTGAAATGAAATGAAGATGATTAATTTGAGATATTAATCAACTGGAATGAAATTAAATGAAATGAGATGATATGGGATGAAATATAATCTCAGAAAAATGGTGGTCATTTACTAAGATTTTTTCAGTGGACTTTTTGGAGAATCCCGAGAAGTTACGTCCAGCGGCTTTGTTTCATTTTCCCACATTTGTGCACTTTTACAGATAATAAACAGTTAATAAACCACCGTTATTACACATTTAAACCTGAAGAAACACTATATAGACAAAATAAAACAAATCACACAATTTCACTCCTCGCGTTCCCGCCAAAAAGTCCCCTCCCACAGATCTGTCAAGATTAAAACATAGATTATACCTAAACCAAAACGATAAGTTTGATTCTCGATTTGAATTTCGTTCGATCGATCTCTAAAACATGGCCGCCGAGTTTTATGTTGTTGTCAATTTTGTGAAATCACATTTGTTTTAATTTAACGAGCATTTCAAGTGAAATCTACACGACAAAGTGCAAGTTCATTAAATCAGGGCTGATAATATTAGTTTTATTCATATGATAAGTATAACTTGAATTTTATGATGACTGAAATCGATGGTGAGTTTCGTGCCAATTGTTGCTTTACGAAATCTTGTTCTCTTGTAACTCATGTTGTACATTTCAGAGTTCAATCAATACCAGAAGTCTTCTAAAACTGGAAAACAGCATAATGTTTTACCGATATGGGGTAACGAACAGACCATGAACTTGAATCCACTAATATTAGCCAATATTCAAGGCTCTAGCTACTTCAAAGGTAGGTAAGCAAACAAAACAACGCAGAGGAGTTTGGGCTTCGAATTAGTAACGTTTTTAATTATCTCACTATTACTTCATTAATTTATGCTTTTATTTTATCGTCTTAATGTCGATTTCAAACTTTTTAGTACCTTTTAAATTGAATCTGAGCTCACCTTGTCAAAATTGTACTACCACTTTTTTATTTATACACTTGTGTTTTAAAATTACTTAAACTCACGTTAGTAAAACTTTCTTGTTACATTTAATCATGAGTCTTCAAAGCAATCGCTTTCATCAAAGTTTTTATCATTTGTTTCAAATGACATTTATTTTAAAATTTTCATAGGTTTTAAGAGTTTGATATTAATTAATAACAGTTATATATTTTAATTTTACTTTACAATTTAAAGATCAAGTTGAAGTGAAGGTTCTAGAACAGAATATTTAAAGGACGGGACTAATGGGCATATAAAGACCAATTATTGACAGAATAGAGAGTAAATTATCTGTATGCAAAGTAATTAAAAAAGTCTTAACATTTTATAGGATAAATTTCAATTTCCACAATTTTATTGTTATCAGTGCACCTGTTCAAGTTGAAGACCTACCATGAGGTGGTAGACGAAATATATTATCAGGTGAAACACCTTGAGCCGTGGGAGCGTGGTAGCCGCAAGACATCAGGCCAGACCGGCATGTGTGGCGGCGTGAGTATGTTCATCACCTTTTTTATTGTTTATTTGTTTTTCTGACCTTCAGGTTATTTTGCACTGTTTTTTAGAATGTAATCTTAGTATAATATATAGGTATTTAATGAAGACCTTGATGTTGGAAATGTGCTATAGATTAGATCAGCGGTCGGGGAACCAGGGTAAATTACCCCAAATGGGGTCAAATGAAATTTTGGGGGGTAAAAATGAAACTTTTGTGAGTAAAAAGTATATATTGAAGTGAAACTTCTTTGAATCGTTGTTATTTCAAACTCAATGAAATGAAATGAAATAAAACGAAAAAATAATATTTCTTTTCAAAATTATCATGGGGGCTATAATATGAAAGATGCTAAAAAGAAGTGATTTCGGTTTTTTTTTTTCTTCGCCGTGGGGTAATATCAACTTACACAAAAATATTTTGGGGTAATAAATTAAAAAGTTCTCTGACTGCTGGATTAGGTTATGAAAACATAATATGGTAATATTTGTTTGCTTAGCAAAACTAATCTGATATAACAATATACCTTTTTAAACTAGCTTACCTGTGAAGACATTTATTTACTTGGAATTCACTGTTCACCAAATACCATATCAAGAATGAATGAAGAATAAGCTACCTTTCAAATCAAATGAGTGATTGTTAAATGAAATATTATTTAGTAAACATAGTAATGTTGTGTTTACTAACTTATGTAAATTTATCAAACTTTAGCACTAAGATAGGTATTATATATAAAAATTGATATAGAAACTACTAAAAAAATAAGGAAGTAATAACAGTTAGATAGGTAAAGGACAGATTAATATCACTAAGAGCTATGGAGGGTACACTAGTAAGGAGAACCTTCTTTCATTGGGGACAAGTTGAAAAATGTCCACCTGTAAACACAAAGTTATTGTTGGAAGTCTCACTGAAATAGCCCTAGTGTAGGAAAAGGAAATGACATGAATATAGCAGTTTTAAACTGAGTAAAGTGTACTACTGGGTTGTAAAATTTGAAATTTTTCTGACTTGTGTAGTTAAAAAATGTGCTGCATTTAAAATTTTGACTGTTTAATTTTATTGCCATTTAAGTAGGAAGTGTTTCTTTCCTTCTTCATTTAATATCCTACTCTATTTGTTTATGGCCCTGTTTTTTAAAATCTTTCCACTTGCTACTGTTGTGCCATCTTAAATGGCTCCCTTCCAGTGGAAACTTTTTAATACACAGAGATGGCCCTCTTTACTTCTACACTCCATACTAAGAGCCTGGTCAACAAGTAATCTAAGCTACTAACATCAGAGCCTGCCTGCATTTACAAACTGATGGTACCATGGTGCTTATCAGATGATTATTGTGATCTCACATTATTCACCTAGCAATATCGAAATGTTAGCAATTATTGCAAGTACTAAATTTCAATTTTGGAACAATTTTTTTAGTTTCAATTGAAGTTTTATGACAATCATTAATAATAACGTAGTGATTTTTTTCTGCCTTCCAGGTACGAGGTGTGGGTGCTGGTGGAATTGTGTCCACTGCTTTCTGTCTCCTCTACAAGCTGTACACTCTCCGGTTGACACGAAAACAAGTTAACGGGTTGTTGCAACACACTGACTCTCCATATATCAGAGCACTGGGTAGGTATGGTTCTCGATTATGTTATAACATATTAGTAACTTACCTTTCCTTTAACTATAAAATTAAGCATAAGTTGTATGTAAATCCATAATATTCCATGTTTCTTTGACAATTTGGCTTGATGCACCACTCTAGTATATCTTAATGATCTTCCACAAGACATAAGATATCATTAGGTGTCAACAATAGTATCTCTAGGTGGGCCTGTTTGCCTTTGTATAAATATAAGAAAATAATGTAACTCCCACTGCAATCATTTTATAGCAGGATCTCCAATCAAGAACTTACTATAAAACAACTGTATTTATACATTTTTGCCATAGAAAAATGCCATAGTTTTCTGCATACGTTATATTTTCATTTTGGCTTTAGATATGCCTTACACATTTTGTGTATCATAAAATAAGTGTTGTATATTTTTGTTTAATAGGCTTCATGTACATTCGATATACACAACCACCAGCTGATCTATTTGACTGGTATGTGGATTACTTTGAAGATGAAGAAGAGGTTGACCCCCGTGCTGGAGGTGGTGCATCCACAACTATTGGAGCACTAGTACGACAAATGCTTGTAAAACTTGACTGGTTTAGCACGTTGTTTCCAAGGATACCTGTTCCCATCCAGAAACAGATTGAACAGAAGTAGGTAGTATTCTTGTTGTTTATTTTTTTATTTTTTTTTTATTGCTTGGATGGGTGGACAAGCTCACAGCCCACCTGGTGTTAAGTGGTTACTGGAACCCATAGACATCCACAACATAAATGCGCCACCCACCTTAAAGTTAATACTGGAATATGTATATCAGAGGTGACCAACTTGAATAGAACTTAGATCTACTGTTTACTAATGAAACCCTCTGCGATGTACCAATGACATTTCTTGAAATTCAATGAAACAATGTAATTCAGTATACAAATAAGTATTATATTTTATGAAAATGAATAACATAACATTTAAATTTAATCTTTGTAACTACTTCTTTGTTGTTTTTCAAAATTAGTTTAGGTTTAGAAATTGCTAAACTTAAAGAATTCAGTTTATCAAATGAGAATGGTTTTTATTTTTTATTTGTTTTAAGTAGGAAAATGCTGATTCACATACATATGTTGAACCAAAACATATTTAATACATTAAACTAGATAAAAATGATGCCCGCTGCAGTTGGTGATTATGTTGCTCAGTCTGTTTTATGTATTTGTATTTTTTGCCTTGCCACGATCTACTGGACTAATAGCCGCGATCGACCGGTTGGCCACCCCTGATGTATACATATATACATATATGGGCTTTATTTTACTGGGTGCAACTTATAGCATATTAAAAGTATTTATTATATTCTATTATATCTGACCAAGAAAATTAATTTAATCCGATACAGATTAGCAGAGCACAATCGCAGTATTGCACCAACAAAGCCGGCCCCAGCGGCAAGGGCCTCCTCCTACAACCCAGGACGGATGGAATCTGATCGCCGCGACCACGACGACCGCGACCGCAGGGACTACGACGACCGCGACCGCAGGGACTACGATGACCGCGATCGCAGGGACTACGCCGATAGGAATGGAGGTGACAGGTAGGTACAGGGAATCCTAGTTTGGGGCCAGATGACGATCTGTGACGTGGGGAGAACTGTTCGTAAACTACGTACAATTTTTTTGTTTGTTAGTTTAAAGCAAGTTTTTACATCTTTGCTTTTCTACGATGCCACGAGTACGCGTCAAGCATAAGATGGCTTTTTTCAATTTCCACCGGTCCTCTCGGTCGGTTGATGAAGGGAATTCGAATTGATGGCTAACGGTCATAATCCTTACACGCTTTTTTTATTTTTTATTTTATTGCTTAGATGGGTGGATGAGCTCACAGCACACCTAGTGTTAAGTGGTTACTGGAGCCCATAGACATCTACAATATAAATGCGCCACCCACCTTGAAATATAAGTTCTAAGGTCTTAGTATAGTTACAACGGCTGTCCCACCCTTCAAGCCGAAACGCATAACTGCTTTAAGGCAGAAATAGGCGGGGTGGTGGTACCAAAGTTGTGTGATTTATTGATTATCTTTAGGCCACCACGACTTCAGTAAAAGACGGCTGTGCAGTATAATACGCTATTACCTATTCGCTGGTAGCTTTAGGGGTTATTCCCACTACGCGCTGACGGGTAACATGCCATAAAATTAATAAAAGATATATTAATAAACCATTGAGAAATTCCATTAGTCGGGTTCGTTAATTAGTGTCAAAACTACTGGTAAGTGGATCGCCCACCATTAGAAGAGACGAGTGGACGTTTGTTCTGATAGTGGTTTGTGTAAATTTTCCAGATACTCAAAGGACAGATCAAAGCGCGAGGATAGAGAGCGCGACCGCGACCGAGAGCGGCGTGACCGACGCGACCGGCGCCGCTCTCGGTCGCGCGACCGGCCGCGACACCGGGACCGCTCGCGGGAACGACGGCACAGATAAACGCATCAAACTGTGACATCCGCACTATCAATGTCTTTTATAATAAATTGTTTTTTTTCTCTATTTTCGTGTTTTATTATTATGTCTCTTAGAAATTATGAAATTGTCTTCAATTATAAAGTATAAGTCGCGCCAATAAAGAAACGAATCTAAAATGGCGGCGGCGATCATGCGCTCTCACTCTAAACTATTGCTATCTTTTACACGGCGCGTACTGCATGCGAAAAAAGTATCAGTTCTATGTTGTTGAGTTCGAGTTGTGCAACTGAGATGACTGGCAGTAAAAGTGTCTACGCAAGTTGCATCCCAGATGAGACACCTCCCCCTCTGCCAGGGCATAAAGTAAAATAAAGTACATTCTCCTTTTTTTTTTTTTTTTACAATAAACAATTTTTTCTTTATAACTCTTTTTATTTGTTGACCCTACCATCTGTCAGTGTAGGTACATAGACGCCATTTTCGATTCGTTTCTTTATTGGCGCGGCGTATACAAAAGATATGTTCAACTGAAGGGAATCCGACCACTTTGTTGTGGACTTGTGTGATTATGCCAATTGTTGTTTGAAATTAACATTTTTTTTTTAAATAAACGTACGGCATTTTTATTTAATTTACCAATATCATCTCATTTCATAATTAAATTACCAGTTTCTCGCCCGATTTTCTCAGTGGGTCGCCCTTCAGATCCGGTGGTAGATTCTAGAAAGTACTGCTCTTGTTAGCAAATTCACTAGGTTAAAGCCCCGTGAGCTCACCTACTCGTTTAGTGTATCTAGTTAGACCCCTCGAGGTTAGTAGAATAGGTAGGAAAAAATAAAGCTATTAATAATGATTCGCAAATTTGCTCTAAGTCTCACTATTGAATATGAAGTTTCATATTGGTTGTCCTACTTCAACCCATAATCACCTCAAAATTTTGTAGCATTAAAACAATCTAGAAAGAATTGTTGCTTTTATATAAATACCTCTTCACTGTATCGCCTTGGTCATCCAGCAATAATAAAGACATAACATCTATGTTTGGTACCTACTTATTGTGTAAGTGGAGTTATGTAACACACTTTTATTATGCAATGCAGTCACGTTATTACGTGCTGTTGAAAGTGAAACATTATCTTTTGTTTTAAAAATGAATTGTCTTATTTTAGTGTTTCAAGTTAACCAAATCGTGGTAATAAGAGATTATACTTAGGTTATTGGCACTTATGGTACCTTGCCTTGGATGTACTGGAACCATAAAATTAATGTACGAAGTAATAATTTTTCTGGTCGTCTTTAAGTTGTTAGGATCCAAAGTGTATAGCAATGGAATTATGTTAGTGTTATTAGTTTTTTTTTCACATTTACCTAATCCTATTTCTTTACCAACAAATAACAGTTAGTTTAGTGTCATTATTATTGCGGTACATATGGCGCAGAACCGGACCGAGTGGAGAAGATTGACATACAGTCACGATCCTCAGCATTGAGGGAACGACCAGAAAGAAAGAAAGAAAGATTGTTATGTCGACGTCGCCTAAAACACGTCATTGCGGATCCTCCTTATCCATTAAGGGTGCTTTTAGGTACCTCAAGCACCGGTCACCGTCTTCATCGAACCCGTCGCTTGCAACCAAGGGCTCGACGAGCGATTTAACCCCACAGCGAGCGAATTAATACAGCCCACTGAGTTTCTCGCCAGATCTTATCAGTGGGTCGCATTCCCGATCCGGTGGTAGATTCTGCGAAACACTGCTCTTGCTATGGTCAGTGTTAGCATCACTCCGGTTTGAGCCCCGTGAGCTCACCTACTAGTTAAGGTTACGCTGAAACAGCCTCTCAAGCTTGGGTAGCAAAAAAAAAAGTATACTATATAAAATTATTATTGCAAGTAAAATATGTTCATCAATTTATACTCAAGGTTTCGTAATATCTGAATGAAAAAGAACAATTACAGCAAAATTTATTTAATTTATTGTAATCTTCTTATCTGTTTATAATGGGTAGCACAAGCTAACAATAAATACAATCAATGGAGAATAATGATAAATCTACAAAAGCAGCTGTGCAAACTTGCGTCAGTTACACAGATGTACCTTTCACAGTTTCTTGTTGTTCAAACTTAGGATATTTCTGCTCAACATCAGACCACAATATTTTGCTATTAGATAAATCCCTTACAACTGTGGGAACATCTGCCATGGGCAATCTTACTTGCCTCATACTATCCCTTTCTCTAAGGGTGACTGTGTGGGGTTCTTTAATTGTATCAAAATCGACAGTCACGGCATAAGGCACTCCCAGTTCATCAGTTCTGGCATAACGACGGCCGATTGAACCTGAGGAGTCATCAACCTTATGAGAAACATCAACTGTGATCAGCTCTTGAGAAAGATCTCTTACGAATGGCTGGAATTCTGCATTACCACTCAAGGGTAGAACAACACATTTCATGGGAGCAACTGTTGGTGGAAGTGAAAAATATGTTCTTTGTTCATCTCCCTCCCTCATCCTAAAGTTATGTTCTAAAATGCAGTATAAAATTCTACCAACACCAAATGAAGGTTCAATGACACTTGGTATAATTTCCTCTACATGAATTGTTTTTTGAGTCTTCTTAACATTCACAAGGCTGGGAGTTAGTTTGAATTCTCCTCTAGCAGTAATAAGCGTGTATTCACCATTACTGTCAAGTTCTTTTTGCATCTCTTCTAAAGCAGCGTTGTCTAATGTAGCCAAAGTATCATTAATGGCTTGGGAATCTTTTTTAAATGCCTTTCCAATGGCTGCCTTGTTGGCAATGGCTTCAACAACTTCTATCTGTTTTGGAGCTGGAAGTTTCTTTTCTGCAGCCAATCTGATTCCAGTAGCTTTTGTGTGTTGTGTTAAATCATAAGCTGATCTATCAGCACATCCAACACACTCGATCCAGCCATAGCTACTCAGACACTCTGCATCCCAACAGTCACATGCATAGTGAGCCATTTCATTGCCCATGTGCTGTCTGAATCTCAGTCTCTTAGGATCAATACCAACAGCCAACATATACATGTGAATTCTTGCCATGAAATACCCAAGTGTTTCATTATTAACAATGCCTTTCGATACAGCATCTCCAATGGTTGTTAGCTCTGCAGGTTTACCTTGTTCCTGATTATCAGCAGAATACAATAGCATCTGAGTGTTTTTTACAGATTCAAACTTTGGATGCTCTTTAACATCACAAAAATGCTCAATTTCACACATAGTAAATTCTCTAACTCTGAGGAGACCTGATCGAGGTGAAATTTCATTTCTGAAGGAATTTCCTATTTGTGCAGCTGCAAATGGTAAACGTCCTTGATTGAACTCTAAAAGACGTTTGAAGTTAACAAAAATGCCTTGAGCTGTTTCGGGCCTTAGAAAACCTTTTACTAAGCCTGATGGGCCTATTTGTGTGTTAAACATTAGGTTAAATTCTATTGGAGGAGTTAAATCATTTCCACTAATAGGTGATTTCATTTCAAATCTTTTCATCAAGGCTGACATCTCGTCAGCATTCATTCCATCTAGTTTTATAAGAATATCTTCAATCTCTGCCTTCAATTCAATTTTGGTGTTCTTATCAGATTTGATTTTTTCAAGGTGTCCTTTAATTAAATGGTCAAGCCGGAAGCACTCACCTGTTTTAATATCCTTGGTCATCAAGTCTGCAAATCTCTCCACATGACCTGAGGCTTTGAGTACAGGTTCTGGAGTAAGAATTGAGCATTCTACCTCTAACATTTGTTCCTGAAGAATAAAAAACTTCTTCCATAAGTGGATCATGTTACTCTTAAGTGCACATCCCATAGGACCAAAATCAAACTGGCCAGTAATTCCACCATATATAGCAAAAGACTGGTCATAGAAAAAGCGCCTTTTAATTAGATCTTCCATTTTAGCACGGTCAAACAAATCTTCCGCGGGTGCGAGGCTCAGCTCTTTGTCTTCTAATATCTTCTTCCTAGTTTTTAATTCAGCGACTGCCTTCTTTATATCAATTTCGGGTGCTTTTTCTTCTTTAAGTTTTCTAACCAAATCGCCTTGTTCTTTCACATTAGCTCTCAAAGGAGCGAGGATTTCTTCAATCTTAGGATCGGCCATAATGATTTCTCGAAAAGGATTCGGTATTTTAATCTTTCGATGAAGCTTATTGCTGCCCCACTGCTGACTGTGTGAAAGACGTAAATGATTACTGAAGACTGTGACTTGTTTACTAAATACACTACACTTATAAACTAGTGACAGAACGTGTCTCATTTAACTGAGATCTATTATCCGAATCGATTCGAAGTTTATGCATATGGACTATTTTATTCGCAGGCCGATGACCGCGTGGAGTTAGGAGGTCCACTTTACGACAGGATACATAATATATATTGTCGGCTTTATAGTCTTTATATTCAAATTAGCTAACTATTCATGAGTTTTTAAGCTTTTTGTTGAATTAATATAAACACGAGTACTAGTTCAGAAAAAGAAAAAGATGATGAAATTAGAAAGTGCCAAATGTTGGCGAAAAACTCGATTGACGAGTACAAAATATGTCTCTTTGACTTTGATTCCATGGATTGCAGTGACAGGAATTGACTTTTTCTCCCGTTGAGAGACAAACGGAATATAGTCCGTACTATATAAAATTAAATAACAAAACCAAAGCCATTTCTGTCGTCTAAAAAGTGAAAGGGTAGGGATTGAAATAAATTATCATATGAAATTAAAACAGATAAAATCAAATAACACAGTAGGTGCTCAATAAGACTTTGGTTTTCTCTGTATTTTGTAGGCCGTGTTCGACGGTAAGTAGATAGAAACATTAGAAACCCAAAAGAAGATATCTTTTGACCATCACAACACCCGCTGTGGGAGCCAAGTTTAATTTTTTCTACCTAAAAAGTAGTTTTGGCTATAGCTCATTGGGAGGCAAATTGAAGTGGTAATGAGTCGGTCATATCTGTCACAGAGCCGATAAGCAATGGGATAGACGAGTTACCATGTGGAGACCGGTAAACGTACTATAGGATGCCCAGAGACGAGGTGGAGTGACGGTTAGGATAAGATAGTAAAAAAAAAAAAAGGGGATAAGATAGCAGGCACCTAGTGTATGAAAACAAGGCTCTGGATTGGGTCTGGTAGCATGCCCGAGGTGAGTCCTATGTACTGTTATAGGCTATTCATGATGATGAAGAACGGTAAAAGCTAACGATCAGATGGCCCAGAACCATACGTGCCGTACGTGCTGTGAAAATTAAAGAAAAAACAGGTTAGACTGTAAATTATTTGTTCTCACTTTAATCCCGTCTGTTGGAGTTTGAATATGAAAGTAATGGCCGGCAACACTAGACACATGTAAGGTTACAGATTTCGAATATTGGAATTATTTTAAATGTTTAAAACAAATAATTCTCTTCTTGTCAGTGAAGAAAATGACTTCTCATCTAGACACGGACAGAGCAACATCTAAGAGTTTTATAAAAATAAAATATTATAATGGCGTAATAGTGTACTAAGTATTTGCAATATGTGTTTTGTAAATGGCCCCTCACCTACAGAACCCAGTCCCCCTCAAATTTAACAGTCCAACACCGTCAGTTCCATAATTACTCATTGTCCCTCTTAAAAGAGGAAAAACAGGTGACCAGTGCAAAGTATCTTACAATATATATAGGAGTCTCATCATGCTTGCAGATGTTTAATGACCAACCAGGAACTCGAAATCGTAGATTGGAATTGCTAAAAAAAATTATAGCTGCAATGTTCAATTATTTTGTACGGCAGCAATAGGCGGGGTGGTGATAACTACCCGTGTGGACTCATTAGAGGTTTTACCTCGAGTAAGCAGTTAAACACATTAAAACATTTGTACCAAATTTTATTTTACTTTATTTTATTTTTAACTCTCGATGTCTCGTACAGTATGACAATTCTTGTGAATTTGAAACCATATCAAACGCGATAAAAAATAGTTTAATTTAATCGACATTTTAGAATTCGTCGAAGCCCCTTCTTTTAAAAGCAAACATTTATTCCTAGTTAATAGCCATGTTATTAAGTTATTAAAACAAGACAGCCGTTTAATATTAAAAGTACCTACCTAATTAAAATAAACACGTCCTTTCTTAATATCACTACGGGTAAACAAAGCCATTACATCATAAAACAGGAGGGTGCAGTCAATTTGATTGATGACTGATATGAATTTATATTTTTATTTGCTTTGCAAATGTGACAAGTGCTTCAAATAATCCTTCACCGGTTAGTGATTAACCACCTGTTTTATAAGTCGTGATGTGATCATGCACAAACCATTTGAGACACGGGCCTTTTTCGAACGACAGGTACAAATTAGCTTATTAGTTACTATGAGAAGTAGCTAACCATGGAAACCTCTCATATTCTGTAAGCACTTCTCAATATTAAGTGTATAATCTATGTTCTGCATAGTCCATAGATTAAACGTACTTTATGGTAGGTTATGGTTTAAGTTTTCAACTCTTATGTTGGCAGTGAGATCTGTGAGATAGCAGCTTACGCTAGACATTAATCTCAGCGGTTGTCTCTTTCTCGCTTTAATTTACTCTGTTCATAGTGATGAGATTGAGCGTGATAGGAACAGTTTTAACGTATAGTTTAATTGTTTGTTTTCTTTTTCCAGTGTGAAACATTTGATTACATTTGACAGCACAAGTACAAACTGGCACAAAGGGAGGCGGCCATTTTATAGTTGGTATTCAACGAGTGGAGTTTCGTTCTTCACGTTTACTTTGAATTTTGGTTTACCAATTGAAATTGAAAATCACGTACAAAATAAGTATACGTAATTAGAATAAGACATTAAAGTTATTTATGTATTGACTGTCAAGACCAGTTAGCAATGGACGATCCGAACCGGATGATGGCGCATAGCGGCGGAATGATGGGACCGCAGGGTTATGGGCTGCCTGGAGGAGAAGGCGCACCAGCCTCTGAAGGAGGCGAAGCTCGCAAGCAGGACATTGGCGAAATTTTACAACAAATAATGAACATTACAGATCAAAGCTTAGATGAAGCGCAGGCGAGAAAACACACGCTGAACTGCCATAGAATGAAGCCTGCTCTGTTTTCAGTACTCTGTGAAATTAAAGAAAAGACAGGTATTTATTGTTTTATCTCATCGATGGAGATGTTACAGATATAAATATTATATAAACATTAATAACATAAACATTTGATGTTAAACATAAACAATTTCTACAAGTTACAGAAGTTTGCCTTAAACAAGGGACATGTAACAACATAAAAGATAAAATCAGATACAAAAGTCCAAAACAAAAAATTGTTAATTATGAAGATTAAATTTTCATTTGAATCACGATTCCTATATATTTTGTAACTCTTACATCAAATAAACTTCCTATAATCCGCAGTGCTATCTCTGAGAAACACTCAAGAGGAGGAGCCACCTGATCCCCAGCTGATGAGGCTTGACAATATGTTGATTGCGGAGGGTGTAGCTGGACCAGAGAAAGGTGGAGGTGCTGGTGCTGCCGCCTCGGCATCTGCTGCGGCCGGTGAATGGGGTAAATTGAAATTGATTACATTTAAAAATTTCCAGTTGAAGTTCTTACAAAGGAATAGAAAAAAAATCATATATTAGTATTTATCAATGAACCCGTGTATAAATTTGAATGCTCTTTTTATATGATAGTTTTCCAGTCACCACATTTATTAACAATAGTACATTTGAAAGTTATCTTACCAATGAGTAATTTAGTTTAGATGTACTGAAAAAGCTCAAGGGTCTGTAGATATTCTTATCACAGTGAAAAGTGGTGAAAAGTGGTTTTAAAAAAGTAAATGTTCATGCATTACAATTATTTTGCCAAAAGACCTGTAAACTTAAATTAAAACTAGACTATAGATTAGATTTGGAAATATTTCATCATTTGATAATTTTTCAAGTAGTTCTAAAATCATATAATAATTAGGAAACCTTTTTGTCTTAATATTTACTAATAGTCTATATGTTTCTATGTTATGTCTAACTTATATTTATTAGTTAATTGCCTACCTTGTGTTATGGATAGGTAAGCATCACAGTCACGTAGAGAATATATATAGTTCATATAAAAATATTAATGGCATAATCATGTAGTCTGATCCATATAAATGGATATTTGGGTTAAATCATAAATGACTTCAAACTAGAATTCCCCTTTTGCAGGAGGAGTAGAGTTAATATGGCTTTCTAAATTTAAGTCTGTAATATATCGCACCCTTAAAACATAAATGGCACTATACAAAAAATGCTATTTTTTAGTTAAGTATAGTGTCAAAATGCGTAAGACGAAACGCGCCTAATGCAAAGACTCCTGTAGCTCTAATGCGCTTAATTTTCGCTAGATGTTGCTAGTGTCACTTATGAATTTGTAACAACTTGCACGGTCGGTAATTAATAAACCGGCACTATGCCAGATCGCGACAAGTCACCGGAGGGATCCCTTATCGAGGTGAGTAAAAAACTGGCACATTTCGTTAAGTGTCACTTATTAAATAAATATACTTTCGAATATTTACAGTGAGTAAGTGCATAAGTGGCAGTTTGAGTTTAACGTCAGTTATTTAATAACTTTAATTAGGATTTTGTTTTCTGTCTTCTACAAGTCAAAGATAAATTGTTTGAATTTTACGATCTCTGAGCTTGCAAGACATAATACTGAATGTTTTTTTCTGGGACGAATCGCAAGGTAACCGTGGAGCAAATGCAAGAGCAAATAGGCAGTTGTGTCTTGAAATACTTTCAAAGAAATCTTCTTTAGCTGACAAAAACATAGATTTATTTTCTATTCAGATAACTGCTGCGGCCAGCAGAAAAATCAATTCATCATCGGTATGTACATCTTGCATAGATGTACATACCGATGATGTGCACTTAACTGGAAAGTAACATCTATAACACACAAGTTTTAAATCCGTGGACACACAAAGAACGAAGGAGATGCAGCACATTTAACGATTGAGCAACATATAAAAAGAATACTTAAATCTGGACTCATTTATGTGCCTTCCCAGTACGTAACCGACATCAGAAGTGCAAAAAAACATGGCACACCATTCAAAGTAAACGAAATGGCTTATAACGATTTTATTGACATCAAACAACTGCCCGTTCCTAGACTGAACAAAAGCGTTGAAAGTGAACTTGTAAAGGTGTCTGATATAAAAGTCATCAAAGTGGTGAAAGTTGAAGATGATAAGGTAAAATTTTGTTACAAAACATCCTACGTTGATGATTTCAAAGAACTTAACCTGGGATCTAAAAGAGCCAGTGCAAGGAACCAGAGGACTGAAGAATTGCAACATCTGTATAACCAAAAGTTAGATTTATCCGAAAGAAAGAAGAGTGACGTGAAAAGCCTTCTAGATGCTTGTTTGATACCCAACTTTTACAATTCCTACTTTGACAGAGTTTTGAACTAGGTGGGTAGTGTCCACCCTTTAAAAATGTAGTTGATTAATTATTATTTGTAAGAAGAGGTTTTTGATAGGTTTTTTTGTGATCTATTTTACGGATTTTTGTGCGAAAATGTTTTTAAGTTACTGTTACTTTATTTATATTTTTCTCGGTTCTAGAACTTGATGCTTAAAGACCGAATTGCTAAAAGACGACAGGTTCTTACATAATTCAGTTTTAAATTCAGTTTTACAACATTTTATAGGATGTACCTACCTACATGATGTTGATACAATATTTTTTATAATTACTTACTGTTTTTTTGTGTAAAACAATATTTTTAAGTTAAGTACCTACTGTAAGTTATAATAAATAATATTTTTGCTGACTCTTGTGATTAAGCTTTTAATACGCTTATTTATACGTAACTTTTACAGTTCCTGCTTTGAAAGACTTTTAACCTCGGTATTTAATTTGGAATACCTGTATTAATTTGTATTGATTAGTAAGTAGTAAGAACAAGATTTTAATATAATGTTAATTATAATAAAATTACGAATTTTATTCAAACACAAATCCTAAGTTTCAGTTTTTTTGACAATACCTTTGTCTAGATTTAGACAGATTTGTTATTATGATTATTTGCGGTAGTTTTGACATAAAACTGTGTGCGTGTGTCAAATAAATAGTATTATTTAATATTTCAGTAATTATATTGTTTTATTTGTCTCTTTTTTATCATTACAATGTAGGTAAAATAACGACTTAGAGGTCATTAAGCAAAAATTATTGAATAACTATCAAACTATAACCGACACTATACAAAACTTTTTTTTTAAATGCTTCTCCATTGATAAGTAATCAATAATTTTATGGTATGCCACTGGATTCTGAAACAGCGTTAGTTAAACTGTTATTTTAAGCCGATCACGAAGCTTTATTTACATTTTTTATGTTCCATATCACCCATACAATACTTAAAAAAACTTAAAACGGCCATACTGTAAAATGAACATTTTCGTATAGTGTCATTTATATTTTAAGGGTGCGATATATTAGATACTCAAACAAACCTATTTGTCAACATTATTGGCCCAATGGGGGATTCCAACCAACAAAATTCAGCCTAACAGTCAGGGGCAACCAAGTCAAAGTTTTGATGATCAGTATTAGAATTGGCTGACATTGTAGAATTTTTCAAACATACAGATAAATGTCATACACTTCTAAAAATTTGGATATAAAAACCTTTTTTATTATTATTAAATACTAGCATTTCACTCTAATAACTTTTGATTGAATTGGTATTCAAGGAATGTCAGATTAAAGTGCAGTAAAAATACTAATTGCTTGTATAAATAGATAGAATAGAATTAAAAAAAAAAAAAAATTGTAAAGTAATGTCGTGCGGCAACTAAGTGACTGTTACTCAAGCAGATAATGCCATCGAGCACTCGGACTACCGTGCAAAACTGGCGCAGATACGGCAGATCTATCATCAGGAGCTCGACAAGTACGAGAATGCCTGCAATGAGTTCACTACACACGTCATGAATTTGCTAAGAGAGCAAAGTCGCACCAGACCTATCACCCCTAAGGTATTTTGAACAAAATTATATAAGCTGTCTTGTAATTAATAATAAGTACAGTTTTCAATAATAATAATCGCTACATAGTACAAAACAAAGTTGCTTTCTCTGTCCCTATATCTGTATGTATGCTTAAATCTTTAAAACTACACAACAGATTTTGAGGCCGTTTTTTTAATAGATAGAGTGATTGAAGAGGAAGGTTTATATTTATAATAACATCCATTACATAGTGGAGAAATTAATAATAAATTACAGTTTCCGACGCGAAGCGAGGGCGGGTTGTTAGTAATATATAAATTACTTTCTAACTTATACCTGGCCGATTGGTTGCGCTGGTTTAAAACTGTTAGTTTTAAGTTTCGAAAAATAGCAACATTTTAATTTGGTTTTGCAAATCCTGTCCCATCCCTCTCCGGCACTTTTACCTACGGATGCGTGCGAGCGAGATCGTGTGGTGACATCAAAGACGAAAAAATATGGCTGAACAACCGCGCGCGCGCTTCGTGTCTTTGTTATGTTAAATACGTAAATAAGTGAAATCGTTGGTGTTTCTCATCGCGGAGTGGTACGAGTCTGCAGCAAGGACTACATAAAGGTATTGTGCATCCTTCCTTTAACGCAGAACTGCCACTTCTTATCGTTTCTTCCCGCAGTCTGTGTCCTTCATTTGCAACGACCAAATTTCAAATATTTCGTAGTTTGCTTATCTCGCGTCTACACCGATATTTTTACCAATCCTTAGTTGATGTACTGATATCCAATATGGGCAAATTATTTCAATTTTTATAGTATCAGTACAAAGTACAAAATAAACATAAAAAGAGGTTACACATTTACATTTTTGATTAAGAGAATCCATACTATTTTATTCTTCTTTTTCTTCTTCTTCTGAGTCGGTCTCTTCATTACTGAAGGTCGTGTCTAATCTAAAATGTGGACCACTCGATGTACAATGCTTCCCCACGTCTTCCTGTCCTCGGCGGTCTTTATAGCCTCGGTTATTGGCAGGCTGGTAAGCGTCTTAACCAGATCAGACCAGCAGATAGGTGAGCGTCCGCGTGATCTTTTCCCGTCAACCTGACCAACTACCATTAGCTTCTCCAAGTTATCGGGGCCTCTACGAGCAATGTGGCCGAAGTACGCGAGAATACGTTGGAAGCAGATAGCGGACAGGTCCATTGGTCCGGCGTGCTGTCCATGGAATTCGCAACATCCGTCTCCAACGCCACATTTCAAAAGCGTCGATCTTTGCTCTCTCACGAATCCTGGACTATTATATTAATGCTTATTAATTAAATAAACGTGTTTTTGTGGCAGGAAATTGAACGCATGGTGCAAATAATTCACAAGAAGTTTAGCTCCATCCAGATGCAGCTCAAGCAGTCCACTTGCGAGGCAGTGATGATTCTGCGCTCACGGTAAATGAATGACAAACATTACAACGTCTACATTAAGAAAATTATTTTACAACCAGCTCAACTTTGGCCTCAATTAAAACAATGAAAAACGAATACGATTCCCGCTTGCAGTTTCCTGGACGCGCGCAGAAAGCGCCGTAACTTCAGCAAGCAAGCGTCGGAGATCCTCAATGAATACTTCTACTCGCATCTGTCGAACCCGTACCCCAGCGAGGAGGCGAAAGAGGAGCTGGCGCGCAAGTGCGGCATTACCGTATCGCAGGTAACGGACCCTTGGCTCGCTTTACAGCTTCCTAGACGCGAGACGCAAGCGACGTAACTTCACCAAGCACGCGATAGAGTTGCTCAATGAGTACTTCTACTCGCACCTGGACAACCCCTACCCCGGCGAGGAAGTCAAGGAGGAGCTCGCCAGGAAGTGCGCCATTACTGTGTCGCAGGTAGCGCACAAACGCGAGGACACATATTGCTTTGACTAATTTTAATGAATTAGGAATATGTATTTCAAGTTTAAGTGAGTTGAAAAAGACAATATTATAAACTATTTAGTTAAACTAGCTGACCGGGCAGACTTCGTAGTGCCTCAATCTATAAATAATAGACCCAAACTTTTGTATAAAATAAACTTAAAACAAACCAAAGGAATCCATCTGACGGGGGACATATAAAAGGAAAAACAAAATTGTTATTTTTATTTAATTCCGAGCATTTTCATATTTATCTACCTTTTAAACCTTCTCTGGACTTCACAAATAATTCAAGGCCAAAATTAGCCAAAACGGTCCTGCGGTTCTCGAGTTTTAGCGAGACTAACGAACAGCCATTCATTTTTATATATACAAACAGCAGATAATGAGTGTCTTCAAGAATGTGGGAGTAAGTGTTGGTTTCTATTGCAGGTCTCTAATTGGTTTGGCAACAAGCGCATTCGCTACAAGAAGAACATTGGCAAGGCGCAAGAGGAGGCCAACCTTTATGCTGCCAAGAAAGCAGCCGGTGAGTGGGACTAACGTAAACATGTTTAGTTTTCAATTTATTTATTGAATTAAGAGCTTAATCTTAATTACAAATTCAGGTGATAATGAGATTGATTAGTAAAGGAGTAAGTCGATGAAATTAGTAGTATACAAAATGATCAGCACTGCATTGAAGTCAATTCAAGTGTAACAGTAGTTTTTGCCGCACATAAATAACCTATGACGTCACGACTAAACAAATACATGATTTTATCATTGAGATGACTAAATCACAATGCGCTAGTTCACATTAGGTCGGACCGGCATCGTTACGGTAGAGAACAATGTATGGTAGAAAGGGTAGAGTGGCAAAAAAAAGAAGAGAAAAGCTATCAGTTGTATCAAACCTGTGGACACAATGTTGACAAAATATGGCCAGTGACAAATTTAAATTTGAAATTATTGTTTCGATTGTCTTTGTAAGCTGTAATAAAACTTATCGGAAGTGGTTACCGCCCCTTACGGCCATCGCCGTTGCTAAGAGCATAAAAGCTCTTCTTATAATTGAGGACTGCCTGTTTGAAGAGAGACACACGTCCGTACTGTGCATAGCACCGGGGTGAATATTGAGGTGGGGCTTGACTCGAACTGTTGGAATGTAGTAAAGTATTTCTGGAAACGCATTGTGATACCCGCAGCGGTTCCAGGTAGTAGGGATGAATTCCGTTCCGGTGGAGGGTGGGGACCTAATGTGAAGCAGCTGTATGAGTAGTCGTGTGCGTGTGCGTGTGCGTGCGGAGAGTGGTGAGTGTGTGCGCGTGTGCGTGCAGCAGCGGGCGCGTCGCCGTACTCGCTGGGCGGAGCCTCGGGCGCGGCCACTCCGCTGATGTCGCCGGCGCCGCCCCAGGACTCGCTGGGCTACTCGCTGCCGGCGCCGCCCTACGACCAGCAGCCGCCCTACGACGCCTCCATGCCCTACGACCCCATGCACCAGGATCTATCGCCCTAATCGCCACACATATGTAACTATCTTTTATATCAACATTTTACCAATGCCCAGTCAGGACTTTTTTCTTGACCTAATTTTTTTTACAACGCATAAAATATCAAAATCAAAGCATAACAACATCTATGTGGTAACAATGTGGCGACCTTCGATATTACTTCAATCAAGTTGTATTGCTCTATTGAATTAAAAATTAAGGCTTAAGCAACGCTAGCCATATTTTTATTTCATCTTAAAAGCTGAAAGTATCGATCCAACTGATGGTGGCATAAACGCAGATGGCACGACATAGCTCATACCGTAATACCCTCAGTACTTCATAACTTTATCTGCAGTTCTTCAAATTCTAATTAGGGATGTTATCTGACACATCTTTTTTTGAAAACTGAAATGCTTTTCTATTCTCTCTCTCTTTTTGAAACATCAGAAGGACAAGTTCCAACTAGAAAACCTTCCGGGTGATCAGCAATACAGCCATACTCCCCAAAAAAATAAAAACCAGTTAAAGACAATTTACAGTTAATTTAAATAATTTTCAAATGTGACCTTTCCACATAATACTTTTGGAGGATTCTCTGTCACAATCTATACTGCAAATCTATATATATAAAAATGAATTGCCGTTCGTTAGTCTCGCTAAAACTCGAGAACGGCTGGACCGATTTGGCGAATTTTGGTCTTGCATTATTTGTGGAAGTCCAGAGAAGGTTTAAAAGGTAGATAAATATGAAAATGCTCGGAATTACATAAAAATAACAATTTTGTTTTTCCTTTGATGTGTCCCCCGTCGGACGGATTCCTTTTGTTTGTTTTAAGTTTATGTTATACAGAGGTTTAGGTTTAGGCACTACGAAGTCTGCCGGGTCAGCTAGTAAATTTATAATTTGCATCCATTTCAGGTTGACGACATGACGCATAATCGTGCAGCTTCCACTGAATTGCCATTTACATTACATAATATTATGTATATCGTTAGGTAAAGGAGTACTGCGAGTGCTCGCCTCTACGCGCCCTCTCGGAACACAACGACCTCTGCAACCTGCAATATTCCAAATCAATGGAATGTAAATTATTTAAAACTGTTCACTGCTTGTTTTCTCATGTATTTGAATATTTAAAGTTCCATTACTGAAGTATTGTTACGATGAGAAATGTGTTCTGAGAGTGTAGCCCTTGCCTTAGGACATAGAACATTGTATACTATGCATTATTAGCACGTTACATAATATTTTTATCGTATTTTTGGAGGTAAATGTAATTGAAATGTATTTAATCTTTATTAATCTATATGACTGGCCCCCAGTATTTATTTTATACAATATTTTTCTAAAACGACTTGAAAAGGCAACTTTATTAGTATTATTTTGTTTTTATTATTATTTTAATACCAGTTATAATTTTTTGAAGTAATTATTTGGACAGTATTAGTATTAATTATGTCGAGAATCAGAAGGCCGGGATCTCTGTACGTTCACTATTCAACTCTACGGTGGTTATATTTATACGATAGCTGTAAGTCTTAGTTTATAGTGTAACATTATAGATTTAAGGGATCAGATATTTTGTGCTGTAATATTTCCACTAATGCGTCCCTACCGTGTATACTAAAATGGCTTAGATATTGTTATTTTCCGACTTGGTACTTAACATATGTTATCGATTTTAATTTAGTTCTCATTTTAAATTTAACAGCGAAATTTCGGTCCGCCCTCAATCATGTACGTGTTAGATCTGCCCATTATTATTGCCATTATAAAAAATTAAGACTTGAATTATGTTTTTGATTCATCTACAGATTATTGATTGGAACGAAATTTGACTGTGTTGCCATTCATTTATATGTAGAAAAAAAAATGTCTGAGAAAAGTACGCACTCCCATATTTATATACCGTTGATAGTGCGGATATTCGTGTGCAATTTTATATTTTAATGAATGGTTGTGTTACTGTGTCGAGCATGTTAATGGAATTGATTATTTTATACTATTACTTGATTTTTTAATCGATATTTTGAATGTAATCATGTGATTATTATTTTTATTATTTGACATGATTTTTGTTGTGAATATATAAAACTTCAGTGATTTTTTTTTTGTAAATTTAACAACATGGTGCTGTCGGTGCAGCATCACTTTATCTCGTTCAGTTGTAAGTTTTATTATGTTTCGTCGTTGACTATCGCAGAAGGATCAAGACTATTTAGTTCCACGTAGACGACTATTACGGAAACGTTGCGAGCGTCACATTAAACGTGTTCTAAAAACAAAATATCTGAAACAGTATACGAGAAATTAAACGGAGAAATTAAAAAAATATTTGTTTAAAACTGTGGAACGTTAATATTATAAAGAGACGCGTCGTCGCCATTAATAATTATGGTTTAGAACTTACTATATTTACATGTGACGACGCGGACACCATGTATACGACGACGAGTTCAATGTTATTGCGACCATCAGATTGACTAAATACATTTTTTGTGTAGTTATAATGGACGTTTTTTTTTTTATTTGAAATTCCCAATTTTTGTTTTCACTTCTCTTAATTGTATACAAGGAATAATCATCTGGGATCAAGGCTTGGTTCTTACTTACTTCTTGGTTCTTGGTTACTGGTGGTAGGACCTCTTGTTAGTCCGCAAGGGTAGGTGCCACATCCCTGTCTATTTTTGCCGTGAAGCAGTAATGCGTTTCGGCATGAAGGGTGGGGCAGCCGTTGTAATTATACTGAGACCTTAGAACTTATATATCAAGGTGGGTGGCACATTTACGTCTATGGGCTCCAGTAACCACTTTACACCAGGTGGGCTGTGAGCTCGTCCACCCATCAAAGCAATAAAAAAAAGAAGCCCAATATTTTCTCATTTGGGTAAGTTTACACGTGATAGAAATATAGTTAAATCCTGTACCTGCCTGCGGGATTTGAACATTGGCATAGTCGCATCGCTTGATACGAGTAGGGATACCGAGCACCCACATTTTGAGGCTACGATGGCCACAATATGCAGTTCAACGACGAATTTAACCTAATGACTTAGACTAGGAATTGAAGCAGAGCGTCGTGATACATCAATCAGTAAGTTAAATCCACTGAGAAGATCATAGAAACACAGTGAGTTGTGCCTGAGTGTAATATATAGGCTGTAGTGTCGTTACTTAAAAAGATATGACATTACCACTAGACACCACTTGACCAATATAGCGGGCTACTGTTCTTTTGATGTAGGTGCACAAAACAAAGTCACGTGCTTACTTTGTCATTATGTCAAACGATTTGTTTTCTAAGGAAATTCACAGAATAATCTTATATTATAAATACGAAAGTTTCTGTCGATTTTACGTACAAAACTGGATGATTCTGATGAAACTACAATGTAATGAATGTTATAAATATATTTACTTAGAGTATACATAAGCAAGCTTGCTCTAACGTTCACTCATCTTGATGAGTGCTCTAACGTTCACTGATCTTGATGAGTGAACGTTAGATGACGCGCGATGAGTTTCGAGATATTTAATACTAATGCAGGAACTCGGTACTTTCTTTTTGATATTTCCATTGGTACGCAAACAAGTTTATGCCTGACCTGGTGTTAAGTGGCCCATAAACGCCACAACGTGAATGCCGCGGATGGCCTTGTGATCCAAGGTATTTTTTTTGTTTTTTTTGAATCATCGCATATGAGCTTACAATTGTCCCGATAGTAAGTGGTTACGACGTTACTGGACTATGAGCAGTGTGCTTAGTGCGAGTTTTTTTACTTCTTGATCGCGTAAAAGTTTACTTAAATTTGTAGGTATGGAATTGGAACAGCGTCCCTAGATTGACGTAATTAGACCGTAGTAGTAGGACCGAGTCTCGACCAAGACCAACTTTTCACCACAAAAAGACTTGTTTGCAAAATAATACAATAGTGTTGTGTTTGTATATTTAATTTTATCAGGCGCAATGTGACCTTGGCCATGTTAGTTCATTATGTCAGTTTTCGACGACCGTCCGCTTACTCCTCGCTCGGTTAGTGCAGTGAATACATCCAGGCAGTCAGGTTGACTCCGGTGGACTAGGGTTATGTTAAAGAATATTGCCAGCTTAACCTCTGCGACAGCGGCTAGATGTGAGTACAACTTTCAAAAAAGATGATAATTTTTATTTAGTACACATAACTAATTATGTATTATTTGTCATCACTCGAACTACATATATCAAGTACAAGGTTTGCAATGTTATGATCATAAATGAAAAGAATCGTAAGGTTGAGATTGAATTCATTGCAATTAATTAACTTTGAAGTTTCATTTTACAATAAAAAATAAAAGTAATTTAAAACAAATATTTCCGGATACATAAACCAAAAAAGGACTTTTGTAAATACTGTTTATATATTAAATTGTTTTAAGACCATACTATAAATCAGAAATTTAACTTATTTACCGTTTACATAGGCAAGTCGTTCCATTAACGGCATTTTGTATTCTTAGATAAAATTTCGATAAATACTCAATTATCATCATTGATTACACGATGCTTATTAGATACAGATTGAAATGCATTTATTTATTTTTATGTTTTGCTTCGTTAATATCAGCGTCGAAGATGACAAGTGTACACAGCGCCTACAAGGAGGAAGTCCATGATGTTCCAATGTCGGTTATCACTAGGCCCTTTATTCCGGAGCTGGACGAGGCCAAAGTGAAATCTCTCATGGAAACAATACAGGTTAGTTATACTTTATCATGGTGTAAATGGAACGTTTTCAACGTCCCAGAGTATGATTTGTGTGGGCATGTGTGAAATGAGTCTTCCAAGGACCTGAAGGCTCATCCCTGTTCCACCCAGAAACTCATCAACGACGTATTTAATAAGCACACCTGTAGATATACTTATTTTTAAGTATTAATTTTATCTAAACAGTTACATACTTTTTTTATTGCTTTTGTGGGCAGACGAGCGTACGGCCCACCTGATGGTGAGTGGTTACCGTCGCCCCTGGACTTCAGCAATGTCAGGAGCAGAGCCAAGCCGCTGCCTACCGAAACATACGAACTTAAAAAATGAAATAAAAGAAATTTATTTTTTATGGTTATTCTAGCTAGATGGTTAGTTGACTTCAAAGTCCATCTAATGTTAAGTGGTTACCAAAGTTTATAGACATCACAATATGAAGCCACCACCTTCAGACATTAAGTCAAAGTTGAAAGAAATAACTGTTAGTATGGTATAAAGGCTATACGACCATCCGATACTGAACGTTTTAATTGCTATGCGACAGAAATAGGCTAGGTACCTATTGCATATTTACAATGCGCCCTTTTACAAGATCCAAAATATGTGTCTATAAATCTTGTGTTTCATAGATAGGTATAATTAATATTTATTTACTCAACCGGAGGCGACCAGGTCACACTAATGAAATACTATCACGTTGGTTAGCCAGCATTGAAAACGGCCTGCAACTAGTAGATAAATAGATACCGATAGTGAGCACACGTGTAGGTATCAAAACATAAATGTAAAACATTTTCATTCTAATTAAGACTAAGTAAAAAAAAAAAAATAACAATACTATTTTGAGAATATTTAACTTATCAAAAGGTCGACTTAAGGAGGCTTGACCCCTTTTATCGGTAATCATTTGCAACATAACAACCGTTAATTTTAATGTTTAGAGGTTATTTTATCATAAGTGCTCGACCTCCATTATCTTTTTTAAAGTGACAAAACAATAACAATAATAGAATTGACAATTAATACATTAATTAATGTATTAGATAATGCCACCCGCAAATAAGCTCTGAAAATAAACAAAATAAATCTTTCCCATCCGATTTTTTGCCTCTAAAGGCAGACGAATATGTATGTGTTCTAACGCCATGGGCACAGCCGCTGAGTGCTAGGAAATTAAACTCAATGAAAATATGTTATAATCAGCAATTGCCATTATTTTATATCGTAATTTATTTTTCAGTTTCCGTTCGGTTCATGAATATAAACTTATTTTTTTAATTTGTGAAGCACTGATTCTATTTTTATTTACATTATTTTTTTCTCTCATTTTCTGTTGATTGATTGCGTGATATGACAAAAGAAAAAACTTCAACTTCAAAGTTAGCTGCTAAAAAATTACGTGACTCTTGACTGACCTTTTTAAGTAACGACACTACAGTCTTTATATTACCCTCAGACACAGCCCACTGAGTTTCTCGCCGGATCTTCTCATTGAGTCGCGTTTCCGATCCGGTGGTAGATTCTCCGAAGCACTGCTCTTGCTAGGGCTAGTGTTAGCAACGTCACCAGATTAGAGCACCTTAAGCTCACCCACTCGTTCAGTGAATCTAGTATGACCCCTCGAGGTCACTAGAATAGGTATGAAAAAAAAAACAGTCTAAAGATACTCAGCTATAAAGTTTTTTGTAAAATCTTCATATTTCAGAAGCAAGAGCTAGCAGGCAACGTCCCGCCAATAGACATACTTTGGATCAAAGGCTCTCAAGGTGGCGATTACTACTACAGTTTCGGCGGATGCCACAGATTCGCAGCCTATAAACGTTTGAATCGTCCCACGATTCCCGCCAAACTGATCAAATCTACAGTTTCCGATTTAAAGACTTATCTCGGTAGCAGCACACCCGATCTAAAATAAACGTGGCTAGAGTAATTTAATAATATGGTTATTTATTTCTATGTAAAAATTGTAATACTTTTAGGTTACTTTTAAATATATTTTTGTTTTTAAATAATACAAGTTGTTTTTTTACTTGGTTTTTATGGTTAGATAACCTCGCGGTTAAGTAATTACCGGACTTTAAAGACATCGCAAAGGCCTTGGTCTCCATCACGCCCTTAATTAACAAAATGTAGATAACACAAATAAAACAACTTTTCTCCAACATTTACTTTTAATTTCGGAGTATCCCTTAAAATCTAGAGAACAATGAGATATGCAGTTTATTTTTCTGTATATTTCTTACAATTTTATATTTACAAAACGTGAACATACAATTTACATAAATAATACCAAAAATACAATTCTACACGTTACAACGTTCACGGGCGCGTGCAGCTGCGTACATACTCACGAATACTCACGATTAGCACTGGTTAGTGATTGAACACAAAACTAGCATAGCACCAACAATTACATTAATAATAGTTTACTTTATTATTAAATTAAAATCGTTTCAGTACTTTCAATAAAACATAAATATCATAATTATACTCGTATTAAAATTATAGGTAGGTACAAGAGAGAAAGACCGACGGGATTAATGTAATAATGTTACAGTGCGTGACCGTAAACTCTTCTCTTTATCATTTTGTAATCGAATTTTTCTATAAAATAAATCCTAAAAAATTATGTGAATATTGTGAAAAATGTAAATATAATTATGTTATATTTCATTCAACTTGAGTTCATTAAAAATAAATATTAATTACAACAACGCAACATTCTCGAAATTAAAATTACAAATAACCGTGAAATGTGCATAAAAACAAAGAAACACATATTATTTTGCTGAATATTAATATGGATTTAATTATATTTGGAGATCATCGATAATGCACCCTATTGTATTTTAATTTGGCACCATTAATAAAACATGCAGTTTAAGCAATTAAAATAAACAAATGGAAATAATAACCGATATTGAACACAAAAGAAGTGTTAAATCCTCAAATAATTATTTATTGTCTACGAAGGCAAAGGGGATTCCAAGTCTGGTCGTAAAATGGGATACGCCTTATTTACTAGGGCATAAGAAGTTGAAGTCGACCGTAAAACACAAAAATCATAAGTCGACATTTTTTAGTTATTATTATTTGAAATATGTTATATATTAGTCGTTTGAAATCATATTAATTAAAAAAAACAGATTGAGATTTACCAGCGCATCACATTTTTTATAACCTATCTAACGCAGCGTCGCCTCAACAAAACCTCGTCCTTTCCAACTTAAATATAAAAAAATATATATATTTATTATGTCATAACAACCATAGTTTACTTACTACATATATCTACGTATAACTCTTGTTCTGGTCTATTTGAATTATGATTTTAGTTTTCTAACGCGAAGTCACGAAATCAAAATTATCCTAGTTCCCGCCATTTCCAGTTGCCGCCTAGAGAGCATCTTGCGGTGGCTCTGTTTTGTTCAATTCAAATAGACGCGAACATGATAAATGCTTGAGAACCCTGTCACCATGGACAAGAAACTTTTTATTAAACATTAACACGTTTCAAGAAAATATTTTTTTTAATATTTATTTTTTACTTACAATTAATAAATAAAATATTAATGTTTTCCCTCACAACTTTCAATAAAGCGGTGGTCACATAAACTATCTACATAATTAACTAACAAGGAAGCATTCATTATAATCTTAAACATTCTGTGGCACTGTTGGGTTTTCTAATTTATATTGTAGAATTCATTAAATGTAGCGAGTTATTTTCAAACTTATAGACACAATATTTCCGGTAAGTTATTGTAAAAATGTAATTTGGTATTAATTTAATTCGTATCAGAAGATGGGATGGGATTATCTTTTCTACTTTTTTTGTTGCGAACAGTTTTATATTAATCAATTTTTAGATATAATCATGTAACCATATATTAGAATAAAATTTATTTAAACATTTGATTAAGAATTTGAATATCCGGATACGTTAACGATATACCTACCCAAATATTTTCTATTTGTTTCTTCCGGCCTTATACTTCGGATATGGTTTGACTAAGTTTAATTTACTGAAAGTACATTAATAACTTTGATACCTCTTTAAAGTTATAGGATACAACAAACAAGATTGACTTTAGATAATTTGAAAGTAAATAAATAGGAATATTGTTATATTTTTGTAAAATAGTTACTTTATGCTTAAAAAGAAACTGAGAAGTTTTTATAAGGAACATAGAGTGGTTTTAAAAGATCGGTGGGAAGTGTACATTTAGAAATTTGTTAAATGTATTTTTCTCAGCTGTCACTCCAAATTATAGTTGAATTTTCTTTTTTATAGTGACGTATTTTATTTACATTAAGCAGGAATATATTTAGTTTTTCTTAAATAGGTTTTTTTTATCAAGCATAATTGAAGTGTTGAATGAGAATTACGACTTTAAAATGTCACTCATGTGAATTGTATTTTCGTGGCGAAATGTAAATTAAAAGTGTTACGAAATTTATTTAGGATTTGGTTTTAGGGATTAGGGGATAAACAAACGCCGTACGCTTCGATCTTTGGGATCTTTTGTGTCATAAAATATGTCCCTAATAGAGATCTACAATTATAGATAGACATTTAATTGACACTAAAATTATGCTTCATTAAGAAAAATATTTGAATTTTAATAGACAAATAATATTCTCTACAGAGGGAGGGAATCATCCGCCAGCTGATATTTGTTTAGATTTTAAAATTAGTATTATTTAAGACAAGTCGATATCGCAAGGGGATATTGCTTTCCGCTTATGTATTATGCCACATTCTCGTTGGCAACCGGTCATTTTAATTATTGATCTAAAATTAATTACATTTTCTGTTAAAAATACTTACACTTTTAAATCTTTATATAAATTGAATATTTTTTAGAATTATATTAATTTAATAAAACTTTCATCTATGAAACGTGGAGTTCATATGACAATAAATAATTTAATTTATTATGTAAATTTTAGTACTCAAGCTGTGATTTAAAAGCAAATCATGTATTCTATTTATGGAAATACATATGATACAGAATACATTTTAACGTGATAACGCATACAGGTAATTTGTCAAGATTTAATAAAATATTAGTAATATGTATTTACTAAATTATAATTTAAAATAATAATAATAGGATACTTGCAAAGCGCGTCATGTATAAATAAAATTAAAATTTGCACAGTAGGTACTTCTAAAATTACAATTCTCTAATGGAACATAAAAACAAAAGAGTAGTAGGTGAAATAATACTAAAAGATGGAATGTTGGTAGAATATTAGCATGAGGTACAGGTAGCACCGGCGAGTGTTTGACTATGATTTTGGCATTTCCCGCCTCACTGCAAGCGCCAATAAGATTCACAAATAATATCTAAGCTGATAATAGAACGTTTTCTAAATGTTTGGGAATTAGAAGAGGCGGAGAGAGCTGATTCGATGTAAAATACACTTTAATTAGGAGAGTTATCTTGTATCGTCAACCATAGTGCTGCGAAGACTACGGAGAGGTTGCGCTTCCGGATGTGCGCGTCTACATTTTACACTAATCTCTCTCTGCACCATCGACGCGGAAGGCAGCGGACTGAACAGAGAGCTCCGATGAACATTCCAGATGCAATTCGAACTGTGTACTTCTACGGTTCAATGTCGCGTTCGTTATATTCAGTTTAAGAATTATTTTAGTAGTTTTGGTCACGTCTACGACTCACGAGCCGAACTAAATGCTATTATAGATGCTTTCATGTGGCTGACGAATGTACACACTGGAGATATTGCATGCCCACTGAGTTTCTCGCCGGATCTTTTCGGTGGGTCGCGATTCCGATCCGGTGGTAGATTCTAAGAAGCACTGCTCTTGTTAAAGCTAGTGCTAGCAACGATCTCAGGTTAGAGCTCCGTGAGCTAACCTACTCATTCTGTGAAACTAGTATAACTTTTCGAGGTCACTAGAATAGGTAGGGGAAAAAAAGAGAAATATTCCTGTAAATCGTATTTCCGACGGATGTTTTAGCCCTCGTCTTGTTCCGCCCCCACGTTAGACGACACTAAACATCTAAGCGGACATGAAAGAGATTTATAAAGAGAACACTGACTTCTTGCCTTTGAAACAAAAATACATTTGAGTGAAGTAGAGTGGCCGACACTTAACGCTCCATTCAAAATCATCACGCAAGTGTAGACGATTATTTTATGTAATACATATTAAGGATTCTTATTTTAATTAAATTTTCACCAAAACGAAGTACGTATATGTATATAGTGTTCCTATTTAAATAAATTTTCCGTATTCAAAATATTTAGTATTAATAATTTTTCATAATCGTGAATCGATTACGAGATTTTTCAAATTAAGTTTACAAATCGATATCTACGTACTATGTACACTTCACTCTCTTATATTCGCATTAATTTTCGTATTCAAAATATTCGTTATTTGAATTTTATATCATAAAATATGTTTTCAAACAATAGTTCGCTAGATTTTTGTAACAGCAAATATAAACTACGGAAGGGTTAAACTTCAATATATCTACTACTCTGATAATGTAATTACTAAATTTTAATAACATTTGTCCTATAATTTGCTATCCCTTTATTCACTATCGACAAGAGCAGGATGGCACTGGGTTATAGCCCGTTTCGTTTGTGAAGGGACAATACATTTTATTTACATTCACAAGGAAATATTTTTATGACATTTTCAAGTCAAATTTCACACAGTACCGTAAAAGTGAGATAAAAGGTACTATTGAATACTTCTGATGCTTACTAACATTTGTGAAAGTGACAGCGCGCCGGACGCAGTACATCGCGCATCAGACGCAGCTCATTGCGCGGCAGACGTAGTACATTGCGTGACAGACGCAGTACATTGCGCGGCAGACGCGGTACATCGCGCGCCGGACACAGTACATTGCGCGCTGCTCAGACGAGATCGTCGGGCTCGCCGTGCGGCGCCGCGTAGTGCAGCTCGCGCTCGGCGAGGCAC